ACACTTTATAAGCTAGATAAGAACTTCTAGCATACACAACTATGCTTATAATCCACAAGCTGCCTTATGCAACAGATTGCAACCATATTAATGAAATGGCTTTAAAAGGTTATTAAAGTCTATACCTCTCAACCCTTTGAAAATACGACAGCTAAGTCTGACGTGGGTAGTGGACTCRAGTGTAGCCAAGTTCCTTCTCATTTCTGATGCTCAGCTAGGTCTGCTAGATGTTTAACATGAATAACGAGAAGGTTGCTTCAAGGACCTGTCTACAGCAAGAGGAAAAAGGAAAAAAGTCAATAAGACAAACAGGAGACCCCAAAATATCTGGCCAGCAGATTTCGCCTGTACTGAAATTCTGCAAGTAATAATACCAGTTCTAATGGTATTTGAACTTTCTGAAATTATATTAAAAGATTTTTAGTGCAAAATGTGTATAGAAAAGAAAACTCAGCTGTTAAAACCTAGGCACTGAATGGCCAGAAGCACAAAGAGGAGGAGGAAAATCATCTGAGGGAGCCTCATCCAGGAGACTGGTAGCTCAGCCACTCAGCTGGGGCACTTTGRGCAGCGCATTGAGTAATTAGGGCTCAACTTACAGGCTGGTCACTACGGTGCAAGCCCTTTTGGTAGGCTAAAAGGGAAATATCCCATTCCACGGTGTGCAAAAATTGGCCTTAGCCCATTAAAAGTGCCAAATAAAAACGAGTGCTAACGCAAGGTTAGAACAGCTTGTTGAATGAACTAGTACTTGAGGCACATGGGACATCTGCCTGCCCATATACAACCTGCTGAGCTGTAGGATGATGACATACTGAGCTGTGCTGCTGGCATTAACACGGATAYGCATGGCACGTCTAAAATCCCCTTACCTGCCCTAATACCATTTCATAATTCCATTTCAGTGCTCTCTGAAATGCTAGTGGAAAGATGCCACGATTTGAAAGACTGTCTCTAAACCTGCTAAAGGTTTAGCCAACAGAGCAATTGAAAGGAAAGGTTGTGGTAACCTATAAGGGGAACAGCACTGTCAACACCAGAGGAGAAGACTGGATTGGGAACAAAGGGGAGGCTTTCTCAGCTGTACCTCACTGGGAGGAGACATCACTGTAGTTGTCATGCAAATTGCTGACCCCCTTGGAGGGGGTGGAAAGGACCAGCAGTTCTATTCAAGAGYGAAGCTGCAGCTACTGCAGTAACCGAAGCAATTACAAAGCCCAAATGGAAATGCAGAACCAAAGCAAAAGTCAGTAGGGTTAAAGGATGAGATTATCTGAATGCAGGAGGAAATCTAGAAGAATCAATTTTTAATAAGTCAATAACAAGAGCATACAACAATAGGAAGTGAGTGCAAGACACCTGCTAGCAAGTGTGAAAAAACAAACAAAAAATCCCATTAAAAATCAAGTAAAATCTTACTACTGTGGTCATAAATGAGCTTTGAATTACCACAGACAGGTAGCTCTACAGAGACCTCCAGCACGCTTCCTGAAACAGCACAAATAAATAAAATGCAGAATAAGAAACTTTTAAAGACCTAATAATGGAAACGGGGAGATATCTGCTCTTATGAGATGAAAGGGAGACACTAATGCAGATTATGGAAAACAGAAGGCTGATCCCACTGCACTGTTTTTGATGTATGTGTTTTACCACCATGCACCATTTCTTACACATAGGATGAAAGATAAGGGCATCAGAGGTGAGGAAGAAAAAAGTTAACATATCAGGCAGTACTAAGAAAAATGAGGGCAGGATGCAAGCACCTGAATTTCTATGGAAGTTGCACATATCAGCAGAGCTGCTCTAAGTGACCACATTCACATTCGCTGTAAAAACAAGGTCAAGAGTAAGCACTAGAACTAAAGGTATTCTGAATTGCTCAGAGAACATACAGTGTTTTTTAAAAAGGTAACTCTTTTTGACAGATTTCTTTGCCACCAAAAATTCCTGTTTTGCATCCAAGATGATCATAACAAAGATGACAAAATGCCTTATGTTTACTGTTTACACATTTGTGAAGTCAGCTGCACTATTTCACATATTGCTACAAATTTCCTGTTTCTTAATTAACGTGGAAAAACATCAGTTTTTCTACAATAAAACATGCACTGACTGGAAAAAAAAAAAGAGAGGGACTTTCCATTAACTTAACAATTATTTGAATTCTGTGTATTTCTTTAGATCAATGACTTGGGATTTGTAACAGTACAGAGTGAAAAAAAGGCTTAAATACTTGAGCATTAAGTCAAAATGTGGAGGATATTGGACCTAGATACAGCAATGAGCATTTAYTGTAAGGAAGGCCAGTCCAGAAGTTTCCAGTGTTTTCCACAGGCAACATCACAGGAGATCCAAGAACATATTTACATCCTCACCAAAAGATTTTAATTAGAAGACTGCATCTGARCAGGAATATTTTATGGTCATTAAGTACTAATCAATCACAACAAATTAAMGAATGCTCATGTCTTTCCTTTGCATACCCAGAGCTTTCTAAACAAACACAAGCTATCAGAAGCATGAGGATACACATAYACGGAAGCAACTGTTCTTCTAACATCCACACAGACCAAAAAGATCCATCAAAACGATAAATATTTTAAACTCAAGATACACAATGTTAAAAAGTATCCTTTAAGTCCCATTGAAGCATCCAGAAAGTACCGMATTCAAAAAGAGATCTCATTTATAGTCCATATAGCAAGTCAGCTCCTCCTCCAGGGTAATTGCACGGCAACTTATTACAGCTTAATTACAAAACATTCCAAGCAGCAGTGATAGATTTTACTGGTAAAGGCAAAATTACTGCTTTAGTGAACGTCAGTCCTCGTTTTGATCATACTTCCTCACTTGCAGCTCACGCCATGGCCAACCTGGGCCAAAAATTTCAGAGCATTCAACTCTCTACCAGGTAAAAGATAATTGATTTTGATGAAAAATGGGAAGGAGAGCATAGAGCTTCAAGGCACATGCTCAGGAGGTCCAGTAACCTCAGTAAGATCTGTAAAAGCCTTGACTTACACCAGTCCTTGACACCTTCCAGTTGAGCAGGACAGTTCTCCTAAGTTGATCCTCCCAGCTGATCCTAGCACAGAGTCAGACTATTGACACTCTGAAGATTTTTTGCCTGTGCAGAAACAAGAAAATCTGACAACACGGAGTACCAGAGCACTGGGCATCAGAGAGAAAGGAAAGAGTATGAGTGAACTGAAGGACATGGATCCTATAGGTTGGGAAGCACAACACTTGCTATTTTGCTGACTTTCTTGAAAAATGGTGTCTTAAGAGGACAGGGGACAGCGTTTGGTACCCAGGGAGATCATCTTGTTGTGGAATTGAAACTTAAGAATACAGATGAAGGATGGAGAAAAAAAAATGTTGGGAAAATTCTTATATTGTTATATCAATATCATGGAGCAGATAGGAAGGTGGTTTAAAAGGAAGGCACGTTGGATTAACTGTCCACAAAACATTACTTAGCCATCAAATTAGTGGCTCTTACTGTGCTTGTCTTTGAACTCTGCACAGACACAGGACCAGCAACCAATTTCCTCTTGTCCCCAAATTCCAGTTATAGTAACACAGAACCGAGCACCGAAGCGAATGCTGCTCGGACCCAGACTTAGGAGTTACCAGAGACATGACCCTGAGATACCAGACTTGTTCCTCATTGACAGCTGCTGAAGCAGGGAAGTACTGCTTAGGACAGCCTGCAAATTCTTTTTCCGAGCTGTTCCACGTGACTTTTGTCAGTGACATTACTTTGTATGGATACCATCTACTGCAGTAGAATCACCAACTGTATTTTCGAAAACAGATGCAAGTTTCTCCTCTGATTTTGTTCGTTACATATGGCACTGTACACACAAGGACTGTGGATATGGCCAAAATATCTATAAAAAGAGAAAGAGGCAAGATCAATTCTCTCCTTTTTTTTTTTCTTAAATTACCAGAGTATTTTGTAATTCCTGCATAAAAAAAAAAAAAAAAAAAAAAGGTTTGATGTTGCAAACTACCAGGTATTTTAGTGCAACTGTTACTGAAAAGTGCTTTCACTGAGTGTGTTTCATTGATTGGAACTGATCTTATCATCCAGGGAGAAGATAAGTGATGTTTGCTTGCATTACCTAACAAGATATAAGAAGCTACTTGTTTAAGCACCATTCAAAGCACCGTTAGAGCTTTTGAGATGGGGAACAAAGCATATAGGGAAAGAGACACTCTACAAAGCTCTGACTAAGCAGTCACTTCCAACTGTTCTTAATACAAGGGCACATACTCCAAACTGTCACAGCAAACGTAGTTTCGGGTTAGGAAAGACATGAGACCTTTAACTTGCCTTCTTTAAGATTTCTGCCACTCACAGAATGCTGCCCAAGCACCTTTGATTTGAAATAACAAGCAAGAGTGAAGCAGACGTCTCACCTGTCACAGCAGTGCTACTAATAYACTAACATAGTCCTCCGTGCTACTAAACCCCAAGCCAAGTTAACAAAAGCGCTATGCAAATCTGATTTAAAATGGATATTGTTTAAAGCCAAGCCTACGGTGCTTCATGTTTTTGTGCTCTCCAGACAGTAGTGTTTGCAAGGCCTCCTTGTGATTAGTCTCAAACATGGAGGAAAAAGTGGCGTTCCACAYGTGAACCAAGCCTAGAAATGAGCACTTAACCACTGCTCTTGGAGAGCGAGTGCTCTCAGCACTGAAACCAGTTTCCCTTGCCCTCAATAACAGTGTTAAGATGCTCTGACCGCACAGCTTCAAGATTTATCAGYGTATTACATGTTTTCAACATACGCTCCATCAAATAATAAGCACTAAGAAATTCTTCACAAAAGTAAAGCCTTTTCGTAGCATCAAACACCGCCAACATCATGCAGGAGGAGCTGGTAAGGACGCAGCCACACAGGTCAGCAATGAGGACATCTTCCCCAGGCTTGCGCCTTGGTCCTTAGTCGGTTGTAAAACCCGGCCACTTCCCTTCTCTTTACTCCTCTGCCCAGAAGGAGTCCAAAAAGGAGGTGCGTAGGTGCTCAKATCTTTAGTAAATACCCAGATCTTTAATAAATAAATAATAAGTAGATAAATAAAAGACGGCGGACTGCAGGGTTACTCCAGCTTTGCTCCTACTCCAGCTTTGYTCGGGGCACCAGCGCGCTCTCTGCCACGGCAAATCCAGCTCCCGAGGGGATGAGCCCGCCGGCTCCGGGGGAGTGCGGGAGCCGCTCTGGCCGCGCCGCCGCAGCGCGGGGCAGCGGCGGCGCTCGGGCCTGCGCCGGTGCGCGCGGGGCGAGGGGCCGGTGGCGGCGCTCCCGGCGCGCGCGGCCCCGCGGCGGCAGCACGTGCGGCGGCGCCCCGCGCGGGATGCTCTGCCCGGGCCGGCGGCCCCCCGGGCCAACGGTCACCCCCAACGGCGGCCAACGGTCCCGGCGCCGCGCAGAGGCCGGCGGAGCGAGGGCGCCGCCAGCCCCGCGGATGGGGCGCCCCGGCGGCGGCGGCGCCCCCCGCTCGCCCTCCCCTCCCTCGCGCGGCGCCCACCTTGTAGGAGTCGGTGGCGAGGAGGATGTTGAACTCGGCGCCCGCCGCCGCGCACTCCATGTCGCCCAGGAGCCGCCGCCGCCGCCCGCGCGGACACGGGCTCGGACGCGGACACGGACCCGACTGCGCCGCCTCCCGCCGCCAGGCGCTCCGGGAGGGGAGGGGGCGGGGGGCAGCGCGGGAGGGGGGAGGGGAGGGGACCGGGAAGGGGCGGGGCCGCGCGGATTACGACCGGTGGGGCGGGGTCGCCGCCCCGCTGCCCGCGCCGCTGATTGGACCCGCGCCTCGGTGCCCGGGGGCGGTGCCGCGAGGTCACGGGGAGGGAGGGGCGGGGCTGCGGCGCTCAACGCGCTGTGATTGGTCGGGACGGCCGGTGACGCAAGGGGCGGGCGGCGGAGCGCCCGGTCCTGCACGTTCTCCACCATTAGATCCCGGGCGGAGGGCAGCAGGGGGCGGGGCCCCGCGGTGACGTCACGGGGCGACCGATGCGCTCTCCCTCCCTATTGGCCCAATGGCCGCGGCGGGGCGGGCGCACGGCTCGGCAGAGCCGGTGACGCCTCCGGCGTGCGCATGCGCAGCGCGGCGCTGGTTTCGGTTCCCGGCGGCCGTTGCCGCTCTCGGGTGGCGGTTACGGGAAGGGCGGGGGAGGGGGGCGGCCGCCGAGGGGTGGGTCACGGCCTGTGCCCGGCGCCCGAAGTGACATATAACGACATGGGGCTCGCCCGGTGCCCGGAGCGGGGTGTGGGCGTTGCGGGGCTCGCTGCGGGACACGCGCCGTGTGAGCGCCGCAGTCACAGCGAGCTGCAGGGGCTCCCCGCTTGCGTTTCCCTCTTAATTCCTGTACGTGCTTTGTTTATATCAGTTTCTATGAGATGTACCAGGTCTTTTGTTTAGTAGTGGCTATTTGCCGTTAAGCCGTTTCCAGTTAGCAGGGGAGAAAGCAAGTGTCCGTGTTTGCCACAAGTAGGTGGYGGGAAGCTGCCCTCAGGGTGTCCCCAGTGGGGAAGGGGCCCTTGGGGACGGGAAGGAGCCGGTGGAGGGTACGGAGCAAGGTGTGTGCCGGGGGCTTCCTATACGCTTCTCTTGCACTGCCTGTGTGTGTGCAGCCTGGCAAGCAGGCCTGGGGCACCACTGTACCGGGCTGGTTTATGTTGTTTGCTGCAGTGGCTTGGGAGAGGGAGCTGCACGGAATCCTGCGCCATGAACTTGCAATAACTTCTAGTTTTTCTAACCTGTTTAATCTTATTTTTTCCACTTGCGCTTGTTGAGTCCCTATACGTGGCGTTGTCTTCTCTACATGGACTTCCCCACCACGGTGAAAGAGTTGACATTTCCAGTTTCTTTTTCTCGGCTCTGTGCAGCTCTTCTTACCTCGTTGTGTTTGTTCCTGTGGAGCCCACTCGGTCTGTTCTCTTCCATTAGTAAAACTCCTCTTTAAATGCTTTTTATGTGCTGGTGTAGCCAGCAGCTCTCTCTTCCCGCATTGCTCTTGAATTTAAAAGGCTTTTACTGGCTGGCCTGGACTCCRTAGTTCCTTCTGAAGACCTGTCTCTGTCATGGGGTGTATCATCATTGTAAGAACCTGATTATAGGATAGCCTTTATATGCAGCATTCCCATGATTTGTCCTGAAACTTTCTTCCACAATCTTACTCACATCGTAGTTCTCCTCATTCCCATGTGTATGCTTTCACAGTGAAAACTTGCTATGGCAAAAGACAAATGTTCATTTCTTTTTGTTTGGAAAGACTTTTAATATAAGTGAATGATATAAAAAAAAATCATATCAGTCTTTTAACTTATGTGAATCTTAACTGCAAGAAATCAGCAAGGTTGGGGAGTAGAAGTTCTACATGGTTTGTTTTATTTCTAAACAGCATTTCATGCTACAAGATTCTGCTGATATATCTTCAAGCCTTCAATAGCGTAATCAATGATGATTTGCTCAAACAGAATTTTTAATTAACAGCATCTTCCTCCCTCTCCCTACTGGTTCATTATTTTATCTTGCAACGTGCCAGGACTTAAATAATGGTTTAATCTTGCTCGTATGAACACATCTAAGGCTGTGTCTGTAATGGAATGTGTCTATAATGGAATATTATGATGTTAGGACACTTCAGAGCATAAACAGAAGACACTCTTCTGCTAAACAGTTTATGCTAAATCACACTTTGCTGGGGAAGAGAACATATTTTAAACTTCACAAAAATGAAATACTCCAACTCAGTGGATGGTGGGATGGTGGATCACTGAGGAGGAGTGATGAGACCCGAAACACTTGATGCCTGTGCTGTGTTTGTGCTTTATTATCTGTGAAGCTGACTCTGGGCTGCTCACCTGGCGTATCAAAACCATGTACGTGCAGCTTAACCCCTCTCTTCAGAAGGAACCATATTCTTCATTTTAAATGCAAGTTCAGCCAAGCTGTTTCAGTAGTTCAGCCTGCTGATAGAGTCAGGGCTCTTCAGTAATTATCTTCTTTGGCATAGAAAAGCTTCTTAGAGGTACTCATTTTAGTTATTTTCAATAAACAAAGTTCTAGCAGTAGGTTTAATAGGCTCATAGGAATTCAGAGGCATGTTTTCCTCCCCAGGGATTTCTGATAATAAATGATAGTCTGCTTAGTAGAAGTGCCCAGTCAGCATTTTGTGAATATGAAGTCTATAATGTAGCCTGCTGCTGTACTCAGAGGAAAGCCCTCCTGCAAATCCATTTTCAGGCTGATGCCTTAGACGGTTTACAAGGACAGTCAAATTAAGATGGRCGTTACGTGAAACCACCTCTTTGAGGGCTATCGGGAATCTCAATATTAGTTTTATCTGGCTATGAGAGTAACTTTGCAGTTGCACAGGAAATCTGTGTGCCTGGAGTTTCTGCACACGCTGTTGTTATGCACAGAGACATTTTTGATCTAGAGCTTCTCATTCTTTAAGTTGTTAATCCTGAGCCTGAACCAGTCCCCTTTGCTCCATTCATCCCCGTAATAATTCCAAAGCCTACTGGCAAACTAAATGCCAAGGTTATCCTTTAATAGCAGTCATTTTATTAAAATRCGCAGATAAAAGAAGAGAAATTTATCTGCACTCCTTTGTGATTTAGGTCTGAWGCGGGCTGGTGTGATGAGCGCTCATGTTGGTGTTTAAGCTTATAAAGATTGACAAGAAGTCCCTCGGTGACTTGCAGTCAGGTTCACACTACTGGAATTCAGCCGGCATCTGTCACTCTCCACCTCGCTGCCTGCAATTCTTTGTTGTGGAGTACTGRGGAAAATAAAACTTTTTAAAGATTAAGAGCTAATATCCTTCCCAGACCTTCCTTCTACAGCAGTCTGCAGCATCAAAACAATTTCTGTAGGTTCTTGCCACCTTCTTTCATCTTAGGCACCTGGCTGGGGCTCTAGAAGTTAATGAGGGCATAACTCATAACATTAGTGTTATCTAAGAAGATTTTAGTTAGCTTGAGAATTATATTCTTATTGCTAAACTGTATCCATCAAAAGTCTTGTTAAATAGTATCCCAAGCAGATGGGATCAGGGAGCAGTGGATTCTCTTGCATGGAAATGACACATCGTTTTAAATCATGTTCAGCAGAAGAAGCAAGCACCACTGTTCCGCTCCTGTAGTTTACCCAAAGGCATGTGTCAATGCCTGATTAAATTGTAAAATACTCTTTAATAAAATTTGTTATGCGCACTGTATAGATAACTGAATAYAATATATATGAAAGTAGCATAAAATAACTTTATCTGGTATCTAGGGCAAGGTTAAAGCTAGTGCAAAATAGTATTTACAGGGGATAACAGATTTTGCTGGTGAACAGCTATACTAATCATTTGCAATTTGATATGTAAAGTTTTTGCCTGTAAATATATTTCTAACATAATATTGAAATCCAGCTTGATGCTCTGTGTGCYGAGGTGCCTGATCCATCCCTGCTGTAGCATCTCTATTTTGAACTCCAGCCTACCAAGAGGCATTTGTATGAATGCAGCTCCTGGATCAGCGATAGTCACACCTTGTTGCTCGTAGCATTCAAATATTTAGCAGATTTTGTGATGCTAAGTTCACAGCAAGCCAATTTTTCTTTATACCTTCCTAAGAACAGTATTTCATCCATCGTTAAACATCTGTATCTCTGTTTGGGCTTGTGTTGCTAGCTTTGCAGGCAGGCTGCAAGATTTCTTCCCTTGCTTTATGCAAGAGGTGGCTTTTGGTTTATGGTGGTGCATGGGCACTTGGTGCAGGTGCCTAGGAGCAGTCTGGATGAAGAAGGACTTGTGTGGCTTTCCTGGTGGGGCACCATGAAGATAAGGGTGCCTATTGCACTGGTGAATCTTGGGTTTGGACTGTGGGCCAGTTGTACATCGATAGGACCTGGACTGGGTCAGCTGAGCTGGTTCTTCATGCTCCAGGTCACACACAAGTGGCTTAACTGCTTCCACATCTGAACTGGCACTGCACACTTTAACCTTGGTTAAACCTGAGCCAGTGCACTCTGTGTTAATGACTTCTGAGCTACACAGCGTGTCCCTAGCACAATTAATGTGCAAATCAAATAACCTTCCACAGATAGTTAAGAGTTGGCAGTGGATGCAGTGAATTAAGGCAACCAGCATAAATGTTAAACCGAGTTACCTGGGCCTTGCCCATGYGTCAGGGTTCCCAAGGCATTTTAAACATCCAAAATCTGGCAGGATTACTTTTAAATCAAGAAAGCACAAACTATTTTCTTTGCCTCCAAAAGAGAATTTCCTCTGCTACATCACAGTGCCCTGAGGCTCAGCTCAGGCAAATAGAGCTCACGATAACTAATGTATCTGGCTTTTTCAGGAAGGAGAGTGAAATAATTCCAGCAAATGTATTTTAGGAATCGGGAGTACTTCTCAGAAGTTTCTCCAGCGATGTTTGGCCAAAGAAAAACATGTAGTATTAGAGCATTTTGTGGAGATTTTATGTTATTTGCCTAGAATGACCTTCACAGTTCAATCTCTTTTTACTACTCCTGAGCAAAAGAGTAAGTAGCGAGTGAGCCCTCTGAGGCTGAGACCTTGTCTAGTTCTGTGTTGTTTGTCACCTACCTTGGTGAGGACTGATGCTCACCAGAGCCTGGTTCTAATACAAAAACAGCCACAGACGGTGTCCATAGGGCATGACTGAGC